AAGACAAAGTAATCATATACATTAATCATAAACACAGGGTTTCATTGCTGCTGGGCTCAGCCTTGTCTTGGGCCAGTGTTCCTGCGACACGGAGTGGCTTCCACCTCTGCTCCCTCTGAAGGTCCTCCACCAGCCACTGCAACCTCAAGGTGAACAGGAAGTCTGGGCTTTGCAGACAGAAGGGACTCCAGTGTTGAGCGTTTATAGGATTTATGTCAGAACAAAGCTGATGTGCCTTACTTAAACATTTAGTGTTAAGAAACATTTTGGAAGACATTTAAAAAAATTTACCATGAAATTATGTTATGAACAGCCAGACTTGAGAGATGCCCTTTTGGAAACGGGTGTTGTGTGAGGCTGCCAAGGAATGCACATCGTGAAAATGTGTTCGTGACACAGGACACTATTCTGGCCTCTTCGAATTTCTTAAAGTCATGAAACGCCTTTGGCTAAAGCTTCTTCCAACTACGGTTAACTCAATTCCAGGTCATTTCCTTGAAGGCATCCACCAGTCCTTGAAGCACTGTCGCTCTTCAGCTTCTGTTTATTTCACCATATCCTTAAAAGTGTTTGTCTGTCTCCAGCAGTCTGGTGCCTGTTAACACTGACTTAGTTGCAAACTCTTCACAAACTTTTGTGGCAAAACCAGCCTTATCACTCGGAGAATGTACCTCCGATGTTATGGATGAAAATGGTTGAGCAGGAGCAGATGTCAGGAAGAGTGAGGGGCATAAACAGACTGGTGAGTCCACCCTCAGTGGAGGGCCTAAAAACCCTAGTGGCCAAGATACATGTGGAGTGGAGTGTGTTTCAGTTTGAAGTCCTCCAGAAGCAACCCTGAGATAAGGAGTTGACTCCAAGTAGTTCATTTGGGAGATGATTTCAGTAAACCCAGGTAGGAGAGTCGAGAAGGAACCAGAAAAGGGAAGAAAGCCAATGCAAGGTGTACTAAGTCAACTACCAGAGGGGGAAGCTGAAGCTTAATTCCTGGGGGAACTCTGTCAAAAACTGCAAAACACATATTCGGTATTATTGCACCCAAGGAGCAAGGAGCTGGCCAATGTACACACCAACTTCTAGGGAGTACTGATTCCCTGGCATTTGTGGCCTGCAGCACCCAGAGACAGAACAGCTTTCCATCATTCTGGAAAAGGCCTGTCGAAGTTGTATGGGGGATACTGAAACAGTGAGGTCCAAGAGCAATGACCATGGCCTGCTCTAGGATGCCTTCCGGGCTGGCTTTCATTGGTTGAGACCTTACCACAGTGGTTGTTGTATGCACCTGTAGCCTGAAAATAGGGACATTGGTTATTCTGCTCAGCGCTGTCATAGATTTCCCCAAAAGTTTAAGGATACAAATATATATACTGGGCATCATTAGGCTGAGCCAGCATTGTCTGGGGAAGCAGTAAATGAGGGATGGTGTAAACTTGTAGGTCTGGTCATCTTTTTGTGATATTATTAAATGAAAACTGCAGGCTATAGAACCCCATTGGGAGTTCAATATAGCACCCTTTTTTTGTGTTAAACATACATAGAAAATTCATGCATAAAAAGAATCTATCTGAAGGGTGTTTATTAAGGGTTGCCTCCAGGGAAGTAGGATTATGAGCTAAATTTTTATTTAAAATTTAAATTTTTAACATTTTCCTTATCTATTTTCTAATTTTTTTCCTAATAAGCACAGACTACCTTTGTAATAAAAATGGCCAAGTCAAAAAATGAAAGATCCCACAATTATTAATATACTCTCGATTCAAGAATGATGCTCTTTTCTATATCTTCTGTTCTTCACTCCCTCCCTTCCTTCTTCCCTCCTTCCATCCAGTGTTAAAACAGAGGGACCTCACTCATCTGCAGGTCACTGGTATGCAATATTAACACTCTTGCCGGGCGCGGTAACTCAAGCCTGTAATCCCAGCACTTTGGGAGGCCGAG